ATACACAATAGGATGTACACAATAGGATATACACAATAGGATATACACAACAGGATATACACAATAGGATATACACAATAGGATATACACAATAGGATATACACAATAGGATATACACAACAGGATATACACAATAGGATATACACAATAGGATATACACAATAGGATATACACAATAGGATGTACACAATAGGATGTACACAATAGGATTTACACAATAGGATATACACAATAGGATATACACAATAGGATATACACAATAGGATATACACAAACAGGATACACAATAGGATATACAAAATAGGATATACACAATAGGATATACACAATAGGATATACACAATAGGATGTACACAATAGGATTTACACAATAGGATATACACAATAGGATATACACAATAGGATATACACAATAGGATATACACAATAGGATGTACACAATAGGATATACACAATAGGATATACACAATAGGATATACACAATAGGATGTACACAATAGGATATACACAATAGGATATACACAATAGGATATACACAATAGGATATACACAATGATATACACAATAGGATGTACACAATAGGATATACACAATAGGATATACACAATAGGATATACACAATAGGATATGAATGTGCTATGTCAAGTATGACTGTATTTATAAATATAAAGGGGGCAGTCTTTTGGTCGCACCGTTGGATAAAAACTATGTAATAGAACAGCAGTGTTGACTGTGTGTGTGTGTTTATGTGTGGTTGTGTGTGTATGTGTTTGTGTGTAAGGATTGTATATGCTTTAGGGTGTAAATAGTCACTAAGGTGTAGATAGGCTTTAGGGTGTAAATAGTCTCTAAGGTGCAGATAGGCTTTAGGGTGTAAATAGTCACTAAGGTGCAGATAGGCTTTAGGGTGTAAATAGTCACTAATGTGCAGATAGGCTTTAGGGTGTAAATAGTCACTAAGGTGCAGATAGGCTTTAGGGTGTAAATAGTCACTAAGGTGCAGGTCGGTGCAGGGAGACAGCTAGGGTTAGCTGTTCAGCAGTCTGATGGCCTTTTGGGAGAAGCTGCCTCAGAGCCTGTTGGTCCGAGACCCGATGCTCTGATACGGCTTGCCAGATGGTAACAGAGTGGACAGTCCCTGGCTCCTCCATGCCCATCAGTGAGACAGAGACTGAGGAATGTGGTGGCACAGGGATGTGGCTTTTATTGACAGACAGAAGATGTGAAACCAGGTAGGTTGACAGACAGAAGATATGAAACCAGGTAGGTTGACAGATGGACGATGTGAAACCAGGTAGGTTGACAGACAGACGATGTGGAACCAGGTAGGTTGACAGACAGACGATGTGGAACCAGGTAGGTTGACAGACAGATGATGTGGAACCAGGTAGGTTGACAGACAGACGATGTGGAACCAGGTAGGTTGACACAGACGATGTGAAACCAGGTAGGTTGACAGACAGACGGTGTGAAACCAGGTAGGTTGACAGACAGACGATGTGAAACCAGGTAGGTTGACACAGACGATGTGAAACCAGGTAGGTTGACAGACAGAAGATGTGAAACCAGGTAGGTTGACAGACAGAAGATGTGAAACCAGGTAGGTTGACAGACAGAAGATGTGAAACCAGGTAGGTTGACAGACAGAAGATGTGAAACCAGGTAGGTTGACAGACAGAAGATGTGAAATCAGGTAGGTTGACAGACAGAAGATGTGAAATCAGGTAGGTTGACAGACAGAAGATGTGAAACCAGGTAGGTTGACAGACAGAAGATGTGAAATCAGGTAGGTTGATAGACAGAAGATGTGAAACCAGGTAGGTTGACAGACAGAAGATGTGAAACCAGGTAGGTTGACAGACAGAAGATGTGAAACCAGGTAGGTTGACAGACAGAAGATGTGAAACCAGGTAGGTTGACAGACAGAAGATGTGAAACCAGGTAGGTTGACAGACAGAAGATGTGAAACCAGGTAGGTTGACAGACAGAAGATGTGAAACCAGGTAGGTTGACAGACAGAAGATGTGAAACCAGGTAGGTTGACAGACAGAAGATGTGGAACCAGGTAGGTTGACAGACAGATGATGTGAAACCAGGTAGGTTGACAGACAGAAGATGTGAAACCAGGTAGGTTGACAGACAGAAGAGGTGGAACCAGGTAGGTTGACAGACAGACGATGTGGAACCAGGTAGGTTGACAGACAGAAGATGTGAAACCAGGTAGGTTGACAGACAGAAGATGTGAAACCAGGTAGGTTGACAGACAGAAGATGTGAAACCAGGTAGGTTGACAGACAGAAGATGTGAAACCAGGTAGGTTGACAGACAGAAGATGTGAAACCAGGTAGGTTGACAGACAGAAGATGTGAAACCAGGTAGGTTGACAGACAGAAGATGTGGAACCAGGTAGGTTGACAGACAGACGATGTGAAACCAGGTAGGTTGACAGACAGAAGATGTGAAACCAGGTAGGTTGACAGACAAGGGACCAGGTTGACAGACGTGTGGAACCAGGTAGGTTGACAGACAGACGATGTGGAACCAGGTAGGTTGACAGACAGAAGATGTGAAACCAGGTAGGTTGACAGACAGAAGATGTGAAACCAGGTAGGTTGACAGACAGAAGATGTGAAACCAGGTAGGTTGACAGACAGAAGATGTGAAACCAGGTAGGTTGACAGACAGAAGATGTGAAACCAGGTAGGTTGACAGACAGAAGATGTGAAACCAGGTAGGTTGACAGACAGACGATGTGGAACCAGGTAGGTTGACAGACAGACGATGTGAAACCAGGTAGGTTGACAGACAGACGATGTGAAACCAGGTAGGTTGACAGACAGACGATGTGAAACCAGGTAGGTTGACAGACAGACGATGTGAAACCAGGTAGGTTGACAGACAGAAGATGTGAAACCAGGTAGGTTGTATAAATGACAATAATAAGCTATAATAAGCTGCTGACCGTGAAGGAGACTCTCTGCTCTCTGTAGGAAGGGAGCATGAACTTTGGCTTCGTCTCAAATGGCACCCTATAACTCGTAGGGGTCTGGTAAAAAGTAGTGCACTATGTAGGGAATAGGGTGCCATTCTCTGGTCTAAAGTAGTGCACTATATAGGGAATAGGGTGTCATTCTCTGGTCTAAAGTAGTGCATTATATAGGGAATAGGGTGCCATTCTCTGGTCTAAAGTAGTGCTCTATATAGGGAATAGGGTGTCATTCTCTGGTACCCTAAAGTAGTGCACTATATAGGGAATAGGGTGCCATTCTCTGGTCTAAAGTAGTGCACTATATAGGGAATAGGGTGCCATTCTCTGGTCTAAAGTAGTGCACTATATAGGGAATAGGGTGCCATTCTCTGGTCTAAAGTAGTGCACTATATAGGGAATAGGGTGCCATTCTCTGGTCTAAAGTAGTGCACTATATAGGGAATAGGGTGCCATTCTCTGGTCTAAAGTAGTGCACTATATAGGGAATAGGGTGCCATTCTCTGGTCTAAAGTAGTGCACTATGTAGGGAACAGTGTGCCATTCTCTGGTCTAAAGTAGTGCACTATATAGGGAATAGGGTGCCATTTGGGACGGAGCCTGGCTTTTGATCATGTGATTCACAACTGACTGAATCAGGAAATAGGCCCGACGAGACAGACTGTACGTACAGTATGTAGTCACACACACAGGTCCACACATACATGGAGGCACACATTGATCAATGTTTATTTGTTCTTCTGTCATTACAATAATCATGTTCAGCCTTCATTGCAGTGTTTACAGAACATGATTTATGTGTCACGTCCATTTGAAGCACAGCGAAGTCAATCACTGTGTTACTGAATAGACAAACCTGGTAAAACTTCATAACAACTTAATGTTTAGCTTCTAATAGTACATTTGATCAGGATTTGCTCCACATGGAGATTTTTTCCTTCTAGAACATGTGTCTGTATGTAACTGAATAGCAGCTAGTGGATATAATCGTATATTTTCACCTGTCCATCACAAACACCAATGCTCATTCATTCAAGCAATCCCACCTCTTTAAAAAAAAAAAAGTACCCTTCTAACCCACTGTAATTATAGCTAAAAAAAAAACATTGATTGTTAAAAACAATATTATATCCTTCATATTCAAAACATTACACATATAATGTAAACATCTTATAAACAATGTATCATTTCGTGGAATGTGCATAGCTGTGTTTCTGATTTTCTATATACTGTTTAAATACAAAAAGGCTAGAAAAATCTGGATAGTTTTTAAAGCACAGTGGTTAAGATGAAAGGTGGTACTTCTTACAGTAAATGCTCCTTTCTCCCTCCCTCCTTTCTCCCTCCCTCCTTTCTCCCTCCCTCCCTCCTCCATCCCTTTCTTTCTTCCTTCCTTCCTTCCTTCCTTCCTTCCTTCCTTCCTTCCTTCCTTCCTTCAAGTAGCCTAACCACTGAACTTTATGGGATTGGATTAGTAAAGACACACTTGTCTTCCTGATGCTTTCATCAATCAAACCTTGTCAGACCAGTGATTTCCTCAAAGAAGGACTGTTAAGTGCTGTCTTAACTTAACTGTCATTGAGAAACTTTCACTACTGCAAATCAGCAGTCCATTATAATCTAACAAGACAAGAGGCAGAGGAGAGTATAACTTCATTTCTGATCCGTTCACTTTCTCTGTGTTGGGAACACAGGTTAGGTTCTTCCTTTTCAAGGGTTAAAAAGTTGATTAAACACGTTCAACTTCACATAAGGAATCAATAAAGCAAAATCTATCAAATGAATACCATGTTGACTGAGAAAGAAGCAGTAGCATTCGAACCGACAGACCCTAGCACTGACAAAAGGGTTCAAAAGTAAAAGTCTCAAATCTCTATTTTCAATTTATCTTCAACTTCCAATTCGTCTTCATCGACCTTCCTCTTTCCCCAGAACGGACAGCCATGTTGAAATAAAGTTGAGAAGTAAGAGCAGTCTATGGCCACCATCTTCATCACCATCACCATCCTCATCATCACACGTCCTCTTTCCCAGTAGGAAGACTGGAGCGTACCCTCTTCCTCTCCTTAAACCGGCCTGACCGAGACACCCTCAGGTTCCTACGACACGTCTGTTCGTTGAAGACCGACTCAAACTGGGAGTCATCGAAGGTCTCGTCGCTGAAGAGACTGGTGTCTGTACTGACTGGTGCCTGTGACTGCTCTGCCTGTGGCTGTTGTGATGCTGGTGGTTGTTGTGATGCTGGTGGCTGTTGTGATGCTGGTGGTTGTTGTGATGCTGGTGATAGTTGTTGGTCAGTTGGGAGTTTGGGGGCTGCTGCTGTGAACAGTAGAGTAGAATACAAGCATGATATATGATTTCAAGGTAGCTTAACATTTTGGGGCATACAGAGGAGGCCAGAGGTTATTTCCTCTCTATGCACCTGGAACAATGTAAGGTAAACACACAATCCGTTTCTAAAACGTAACATACAGGGTAGTCTGTCATGATAGCCTTAACATTAAAATGGTCCAGTTGGTTGAGCATGGCGCTTGCAACGACAGGATAGTGGGTTTGATTCCCAGGACCACCCATACGTAAAAAAAAAACCCCACATGATTGTAAGTCGCGGCAGGTAGCTTAGTGGTTAAAAGCGTAGTGCCAGTAACCGAAAGGTCGCTGGTTCTAATCCCCGAGCCGACTAGGTGAAAAATCTGTCTGTGCCCTTGAGCAAGGCACTTAACCCTAATTGCTCTTGTAAGTCGCTCTGGATAAGAACGTCTGCTAAATGACTAAAATGTAAAAAAAATGTAATAAAAGTGTCTTCTAAATGGCATATATCACTCTGGGGGGCTGAGATGACTTACAGTGTGGTGTAGCCAGGGGCGTCAGAGGGTCCTTCACTGTGTCTGTGGTGCTGTTCGTGGTACTGTTTGTCCTCTTACTGCCCACCATGAATGACCTCCACCAAGTCACTCTCTCTGCCATCTTCCACCCTGCCAGAGACATTAACAGGTCCACCTTTATGTCAAGTATCACTGAAACATGGACAACACAGTATATCTAAAACATATGTTGTCATAGTGATTTAATATCGATAGGGTAGGTACAGTGTTATTTCAGTGTAATAACTGTTTACAATATTGACGGTATAATTGCGCATGTTGAGGTTTTACACCAAACATCCTGGGCAGCATAATGCATACTCATCATCATCATCATCATCACCATCAATTATAGCTCTATGATTATGGGATGGAAGAGAGAGAGAGAGAGAGAGAGAGAGAGAGAGAGAGAGAGAGAGAGAGAGGCAGAGTAGACAACCTGAACCAACTGTCACTGGTTTAAAGCATGACAGAAAGGTGTTCGTTTAATTTGGAATGAACTTTTTATTTTCATATTATCACTGTAGCAGTAAAACAAATAGGATAATTGTTAAATTAGCGTCCCCTCAACGTTGGATTTATGGGAGCTCATGTCTCATTCGCACACTGATTATGCCATTATGTTCTTCTTGGCCAGTGAAAGCCTATGAATATGAATATGAATACATAACTTCTTTGCAAAACACAAAACAGCACACACAGCCTATAATATCCGTAACTATTTCTGTATCTATGTAGAACAGGTTTAACGAGCCGTGAGAACAGCTGAGACAGAGCTGTGATTCACCGCTCAGCGATGCTATAAGCATCTCTCCACCACCGGGCCACTCACCTGCACTATTCGGGCTGGACTGGAGCGGGTCGGACCTCTTCAAGAACAAACTTTAGTCTGTGTTGATGTCAGAATCCATGGTTGATCTCTTGTGGAGTCAGTAGAAACGACTATTTTGTTGTGCGTCCGAAAAGTGCGTCTACCTTTACACACGGATTCTCAGCGCAAGCTATCTCCACTCATTCTCTTTCCACGGTTGAAAAAAATATATTTAAACCTCACCTAACTATCATTAATTTGATTAGATCTCATAACTCGTTGTTGGTTCAGTGACTCTCTGAGAAACTACGACTAAATGTACAACTTTATAGGAGGCGTCTGTCTTTTACCTTGACCTGAAGGTTTCCGCCTCCGAAACTGTCCTCATGGAGGAGCACCTGTCCGCGCCGCTGATTGGCTGAATCCGGAGGACCGCTCACGTGAGCTGCGTTCAGGTGAATCCACCGTGCCGCGCGCACGTCCCCTGACATAGAGGCGCTGTAAACAATAGGACGTAACCCAGAGGCGCAGCCCCAAGGGCCAAATGATGTTCAGATTATTCCCGATTATTCTACAGAGTTTCATTGGTTAACAATAGCATATTGAAACGCAAAAAACGGAATGAAGATAGCACTGGTGGTACTTTTTATGGAACAAATAATTTAATGGTCACCACAGCAACAGTGAGGTATACCACTAATACTAAACCTATGTGTCACATCTTACAAAACCCGTTTTTTTTTTTTTTTTTTGCAGATAGATGCAGTTGAGCAGATTGATGTACTGTACAAGTGGATGCTAGTTTATCACAGGGCCTTACTCCTAATCTATCTGAGTACTGAAGCAGAGACGCATCAGGTCCCATTTTTAACAGTCTTTGGTATGACTCGACTGGGGACACTAACCACTGAGTTGGTGATAGATGCAACTAAGGCCTATACAATTCCTGTATGTATTCCAACCTCCTGCGACAGATACAGAGATTAAAATGCAATCAGTGCAAAAATGTAGTGAAGACATTTAGTGTCTATAATAAAAGGGAATGTAGGAGTTAGAGGAATCCCAGGTCCTTTCAAATTGTATTACCACATTGACACATAGAAGTTGACGTCTCAAAGACTGGACTGTTGCCAGTTTCACCTGTAGTGCGGCTTGTAGGAAAGGTTCCGGATGCTTTAGCATAGACACATTGTCACGCCCTGACTCAGGGGACGGTTATTTGTTGAGTCAGGGTGTGTATATTTCGTGTTGTGTTTATTTCTATGTTTAGTTTCTAGATCGTTTAGATCTATGTTGGCCAGGGTGGTTCCCAATCAGAGGCAGCTGTAGCTCGTTGTCTCTGATTGGGGACCATACTTAGGCAGCCTTTTGGCACCAGTCAGTTGTGGGATCTTGTTCCGTGTGAGGTATGTTATTTTGTCTACCTTGGACTTCACGTTTCGTTTGTTGCTTTGTCGTGTGTTCAGTACGTAAATAAATATGAATACATATCACGCTGCGCCTTGGTCCTTCTCGTTCATGAACGATCGTGACATACATACTGTACGATCCTTAGTATTTCTGGATTAAGTTTCTGTAAGAGCTTTATAATCTCTCTCTCTCTGTGTCTCTGTCTCTTTCTCTCTCTCTCTCTCTCTGTCTCTCTCTCTCTCTCTCTCTCTCTGTCTGTCTCTCTCGCTCTCTCTCGCTCTCTCTCTCTTTCTCTCTCTCTGTATGTCTGTCTGTCTGTCTCTCTCTGTCTCTCTCTCTCTCTTTCTCTTTCTATCTCTCTCTCTAGAGGTAGACCTCATGAATGCTTGTTTAAATAAACAGTTTACGTGTGTGTACATATGACAGGGAGGACCCGAACTGGAACGGATAGGGAGGGAGGGAGATGGAGGAAGGGAGGGAGGGAGGGAGGGAGGAAGTGGTTTCCCTCTTCCATCAGGAATATGGGTCAGGTATCCCTGCTCTCGCCTTCCTCCCTGTCTGTCTGGATACCTGGGGGACCCCCTCCCCTCCCCTCCCCTCCCCTCCCCTCCCCACCCTGAAACTACACGTGGCTGGTGTTCATTCCACCACATGCTGTAGGCTACACAGTTGTGTGCTAGTATGTATTTGACAGAGTAAATGGAAAGCATCAGGGGTGCTGTCCGTTAGTGTACACAGTACTATCCTCTCCTTATCTATTTTCATCCAGCCCCTACTAACAGACTGGAAGAGGAGGTCACTTAAGAACCCGAGTCCTTAGTCGTGGGGAAATCTCTCTACGTGGGAGGCAGACAGACAGACATTGACGTTTAAGAAACTTGTGAATGATGAAATGATGTGGACGGAACTAAATACTGTCAATATGGGATTTATTGACCGATCATGTTCTCAAGAAAAAGCATGGGCACTGGGTGCAGCACTCCTATCTTACTGACAGGAACTGAATGCCGAAATGAGAGCAGTTACGTTAGAAATGCAGAGATTAGATTGCAAAAGGGAGTTTCTTAGAGATTGTAACAATAATGACCTAATATACAGTGGGGGGAAAAAAGTATTTAGTCAGCCACCAATGGTCCAAGTTCCCCCGCTTAAAAAGATGAGAGAGGCCTGTAATTTTCATCATAGGTACACGTCAACTATGACAGACAAAATGAGAAAAAAAATTCCAGAAAATCACATTGTAGGATTTTTTATGAATTTATTTGCAAATTATGGTGGAAAATAAGTATTTGGTCAATAACAAAAGTTTCTCTATACTTTGTTATATACCCTTTGTTGGCAATGACACAGGTCAAACGTTTTCTGTAAGTCTTCACAAGGTTTTCACACACTGTTGCTGGTATTTTGGCCCATTCCTCCATGCAGATCTCCTCTAGAGCAGTGATGTTTTGGGGCTGTTGCTGGGCAACACGGACTTTCAACTCCCTCCAAAGATTTTCTATGGGGTTGAGATCTGGAGACTGGCTAGGCCACTCCAGGACCTTGAAATGCTTCTTACGAAGCCACTCCTTCGTTGCCCGGGCTGTGTGTTTGCGATCATTGTCATGCTGAAAGACCCAGCCACGTTTCATCTTCAATGCCCTTGCTGATGGAAGGAGGTTTTCACTCAAAATCTCACGATACATGGCCCCATTCATTCTTTCCTTTACACGGATCAGTCGTCCTGGTCCCTTTGCAGAAAAACAGCCCCAAAGCATGATGTTTCCACCCCCATGCTTCACAGTAGGTATGGTGTTCTTTGGATGCAACTCAGCATTCTTTGTCCTCCAAACACGACGAGTTCTATTTTGGTTTCATCTGACCATATGACATTCTCCCAATCCTCTTCTGGATCATCCAAATGCACTCTAGCAAACTTCAGATGGGCCTGGACATGTACTGGCTTAAGCAGGGGGACACGTCTGGCACTGCAGGATTTGAGTCCCTGCCAGCGTTGTGTGTTACTGATGGTAGGCTTTGTTACTTTGGTCCCAGCTCTCTGCAGGTCATTCACTAGGTCCCCCCGTGTGGTTCTGGGATTTTTGCTCACCGTTCTTGTGATCATTTTGACCCCACGGGGTGAGATCTTGCATGTAGCCCCAGATCGAGGGAGATTATCAGTGGTCTTGTATGTCTTCCATTTCCTAATAATTGCTCCCACAGTTGATTTCTTCAAACCAAGCTGCTTACCTATTGCAGATTCAGTCTTCCCAGCCTGGTGCAGGTCTACAATTTTGTTTCTGGTGTCCTTTGATAGCTCTTTGGTCTTGGCCATAGTGGAGTTTGGAGTGTGACTGTTTGAGGTTGTGGACAGGTGTCTTTTATATTGATAACAAGTTCAAACAGGTGCCATTAATGCAGGTAACGAGTGGAGGACAGAGGAGCCTCTTAAAGAAGAAGTTACAGGTCTGTGAGAGCCACAAATCTTGCTTGTTTGTAGGTGACCAAATACTTATTTTCCACCATCATTTGCAAATAAATTCATTAAAAATCCTACAATGTGATTTTCTGGAATTTTTTTCCTCAATTTGTCTGTCATAGTTGACGTGTACCTATGATGAAAATTAAAGGCCTCTCTCATCTTTTTAAGTGGGAGAACTTGCACAATTGGTGGCTGACTAAATACTTTTTTTCCCCACTGTATATAGCTTCCTTCATCCCCACCCTCTCTCCCTCCTCCTTTCTCCTTCATCCCCAGCCTTTCTCTCCTTACCCTTCATCCCCACCCTCTCTCTCCTTCTTCCTTTATCCCCACCCTTTCTCTCTTTCATCCTTAATCCCCACCCTCTCTCTCCTTTCTCCTTCAGCCCCACCCTCTCTCCCTTTCGTCCTTCATCCCCACCCTCTTTCTTCTTCCTCCTTAATCCCCACCCTCTCCTTCCTTCTTCAGCCCCACCCTCTCTCCCTTTCCTCTTTCATCCCCACCCTCTCTCTCCTTTCTCCTTCATCCCCAGCCTCTCTCTCTTTCCTCCTTCATCCCCACCCTCTCTCTCCTTCCTCCTTAATCCCCAGCCTCTCTCCCCTTCCTTCTTCATCCCCAGCCTCTCTCTCCCTTTCCTCCTTCATCCCCACCCTCTCTCTCCTTCCTCCTTAATCCCCAGCCTCTCTCCCCCTTCTCCTTCAGCCCCACCCTCTCTCTCCCTTTCCTCCTTCATCCCCAGCCTCCTCTCCTTCTTCTTCATCCCCAGCCTCTCCTCCCTTTCCTCCTCATCCCCACCCTCTCTCATCCTCCTCCTTAATCCCAGCCTCTCTCCCTTTCTCCTTCACCCCACCCTCTCTCTCCCTTTCCTCCTTCATCCCAGCCTCTCTCTCTTTCCTCCTTCATCCCACCCTCTCTCTCCTTCCTCCTTAATCCCAGCCTCTCTCCCTTTCCCTTCAGCCCCACCCTCTCTCTCCCTTCCTCCTTCATCCCCAGCCTCTCTCTCTTTCCACCTTCATCCCCACCCTCTCTCTCCTCTCTCCTTCCTCCTTAATCCCCAGCCTCTCTCTCCCTTTCCTCCTTCATCCCCACCCTCTCTCTCCTTCCTCCTTAATCCCCAGCCTCTCTCCCCTTCCTCCTTCAGCCCCACCCTCTCTCTCCCTTTCCTTCTTCATCCCCACCCTCTCTCTCCTTCCTTCTTCATCCCCACCCTCTCTCTCCCTTTCCTCCTTCATCCCCACCCTCTCTCTAAAACCATCCCCCAGAATTACTAAACACTCATTTAAAACCCATAACACATAGAGAACACTTAAAACATTACAGGACATTTTTCATGATGGAAATTAAAAAACATTTAAGAGCTAGAGTTATTTTACAGTCTGACCGCAGTGGGGTATGTGACGTTTCTCAGGCGGTTCGCATTGGGCAGTCATACAGGACAGTTTGTGGCTGTTTCTCAGGAGCCTGGTGGTGCAGTTACCTCTTTCTGGAGGGAGCATGTCCTTCACCAGGTGCACTGTAACCTGCTGGTGTCTGCTCTACATTGACAGTAGCTGTGGTTGGACTACTCCACCTGAGGAGATGATCCTCAGGGCCCTCCTCTGCACCCTGTCCAGTTGGGCCTGCTGTTTTTAGCTGCATCCAACTAACAGCACTCCACTGAATTCCAGACAAGGCCTGACCAGGGTAGTGAATACTGTAATACCAGATCCTCAGTGAGTAGGTAATTTCTGGCAAGAACAGGCGTTTTGAGGCCTTCCTCACTGAATGTCTAGATCAGGGAGAGTTATTGTTTTAGAGCTCAGGGATTCTTGAAAGACGTGACTTTCTTTCCACAAATATTTGTCTTAATATTAACAAAATATAAAATATATGTTTTGATAGACCAAAGTATCAGTGATCACACCATGTAAAGGAAAAACCATGTAAAAAAATAATCTGGATTTATGTCAACTCTGTCAGACACCATGAATGGCATTGAATTTGTACAATTATTGTCCAACAAGTGTTTAAATGCATTGATTGCTTAATTCTAACATTAACATTTATTCAAATATGTAATACAAATCTCCACACTTATTTTTGTTTGTTTTATAGCACTATTAAATGCTCCAGGGCTAATTTCTTTAGCATTTTGGCATGTTTTTCTAGATTCAGAACATAAAACAATATTTATAAAGCAAACATTATCCCTTAGGTCTAGCACAGCAAATACTTAAATTGTCTAAGCATATGTTGCAGAACAGTGCTTCAAATATTTTTTTGCAGAATATTGACAAAAAATACGTTCTTAAGGGGGTTAGCCATCCGTGACGGAGTTGACAACAGATTTCTCAAAATTTTACATTTGTAAAATATGGAAAATGATTAATCTAAAAATCTCCAATAAAAACATAACCATTCTATCAGATCATTCAGCACTCTGACGGCGTTGACTGACTATAAACAAAACTCTGACTGAGTTTATGTTTTACGGATCAAGTGGTGCACACAGCAGCAATTTGGTTTCTCCTCATTTTCTTTATGACTCTAAAACCTAATTAAATGTAACATATTTGAACCAAAAATTCATACTCTATCATAATCTACAGATGGAGTTGACAGTTTATGGTTGTGACCATGGTGATTCCATATATTGTTTGTTTAAATCTATCAAAAGTGGAGAACTTAACAGACCATGAGTGGTCGTGTTGCACTACATGTAATGAGGACATGAAGAAGGGGGTCCTTATTGTATAGCTGACCCTGATCATTCCTGATTAATTTAAGATTTTAGACAAATCTGACGGAGTTGACCAAATCTACGGACACATCTTTTAGGAATCACAATATTATTTAAATCCACATTGCAAGAAACCAGGGGCGGTGTGTTCAATAGGGCGATATGGGCGACGCACTGCCAAACGGGAAAAGGAAGGGATTTTTTTTCTAATCAATTATATCACGGCAACAGTAGTTATCAGTGTTGTAATCTAGACGTCTGATCTGCCACAGTGCCACTAAATGTCCAATCAGGCTAAAGTCGTGCTTCAAATGGCCCCCCCCCCCTTTTGGGGCGATTTCAGTCAGGTTGAAAATCGCCCAGAAGTCTGTCATAGACTCCCATGTAAAATCTATTTTTTTCAAATATCAGAGCTTTCAATACAATCTCTATGGGTTTCTGAGGGCTTGCACTTATGCGCTTTCGTCATACGTAACATAACCATGAACGTAACTAAGAAAAGAGCGGGTAGCAGCGTCAATCAATTCACTACTACTATCAAAATGGCTAGGCTTCAGTGCAACTCGATTGTGTCTTTGAAAGAAGTTCCTTTTTGTCGGCGAACAAATGAAGATAAATTGGCAACGAAACAATTAGGACCTCCCAGACCAAATTTAATAATTCAACAGGTTTCTACTAAAGGGGGGAAGTCCTACACCCGAGGATTTTCCAAAAATTGGTACGAACGAAAAACCTGGCTAGCAGGCTGCGATGTAGCTAATGCAGTCTTCTGCTACCCCCTGCTTACTCTTTCACCCTGAAGGCGGCATGGCAGACAGCACCGCTTGGACAGCGACTGGTGTGTAACGGACATGCACCATCTTTCAGGAAAGATTAAGAAACATGAGCTGTCAAAGACCCACATGGATAGCTGTTTGAGATTGTCTGCTTTGGGGAGAGTGAACATTCCCACTCAACTGGATGAGGGATACAGGCTAGCTGTCCGCCGCCACAACGATGAGGTTAGTGTTGATAATCACAAGTTTACTGGAGGACTGAAACTGACAAGGCTGACAAGATAGGACCCTTTTGTCCATTGTTATTGGATAGGAACAGAACTTATAACCAGCTCCTGACCTAAATAGATCTTAGCACAACATTTTACTCAACATATCATATTCCATATTCACTATAACAAATATATTTACTACGACATTAGCAAGAACCGCCACATCCTCAGCCGGCTAATCCAGTGTGTGAAGTTTTGCGGAGTGTTTGAGTTAGCTTTGCGAGGCAAAGATGAAACTGAGGGCTCCACCAACCCTGGTAAGCCAACACTTTTGAGATCAGTCAATAAATGCTTCTGGTATTGACTTATATGCTGCCCCTGTCTTCATGTTGTTGCTGGACATATCTTTTTTAAAATGTGTGTAGGTCACCTAAATCATCAGAAAAATTGCCCCCCCTGAGAATTTTTTCAGGAGCCGCCACTGCAAGAAACGACATACAGTTCCTTGCAAAAGTATTCATCCCACTTGGCGTTTTTCCTATTTTGTTGCATTACAACCTGTAATTTAAATTGATTTTTATTTGGATTTCATGTAATGGACATACACAAAATAGTCAAAATTGGTGAAGTGAAATTAAAGAAATAACTTGTTTCAAAAAATTCTAAAAAATAAATAACTAAAAAGTGGTGCGTGCATATGTATTCACCCCCTTTGCTATGAAGCCCCTAAATAAGATCTGGTGCAACCAATTACCTTCAGAAGTCACATAATTAGTTAAATAAAGTCCACCTGTGTTCAATCTAAGTGTCACATGATCTCAGTATATATACACCTGTTCTGAAAGGCCCCAGAGTCTGCAACACCACTAAGCAAGGGGCACCACCAAGCAAGCGGCACCATGAAGACCAAGGAGCTCTCCAAACAGGTCAGGGACAAAGTTGTGGAGAAGTACAGATCAGGGTTGTGTTATAAAAAAAAATCTGAAACTTTGAACATCCCACGGAGCATCATTAAATCCATTAGTTAAAAATTGAAAGAATATGGCACCACAACAAACCTGCCAAGAGAGGGCCACCCACCAAAATTCACGGACCAGTCAAGGAGGGCATTAATCAGAGAGGCAACAAAGAGACCAAAGATAACCCTGAAGGAGCTGCAAAGCTCCACAGCGGAGATTGGAGTATCTGTCCATCAAACCACTTTAAGCTGTACACTCCACAGAGCTGGGCTTTACAGAAGAGTGGCCAGAAAAAAGCCATTGCTTAAAGAAAAAAATAAGCAAACACGTTTGGTGTTCGCCAACAGCCATGTGGGAGACTCCCCAAACATATGGAAGAAGGTACTCTGGTCAGATGAGACTAAAATTGAGCATTTTGGCCATCAAGGAAAAAGCTATGTCGAGGGAGAGTCTCCCACAAGGCATGAGAGGGAGTCAGCTAGGAAACTAAGTAACTAAGAACGCACCCACCCACCGTATTTATGTTATCTGGCAGACATGTTCTCAGGCTCCAACTATCACACTCCTTTTACTCACAGGCAGACAGACAGGTAGAGAGACAGACACACTGACAGACAAATAGATAGACACACAGACAGACAGGCAGGCAGACAGACAGACACACACACACACAGACAGACAGACAGACAGACAGACAGACAGACAGACAGACAGACAGACTGAGACAGACAGACAGACACACACAGGCAGACAGGCAGACAGACAGACTGAGACAGACAGACAGGCAGGCAGCGACAGACAGACAGACACACAGACAGACACACAGACACACAGACAGACAGACAGACAGACAGACAGACAGACAGACAGACAGACTGAGACAGACTGAGACAGACAGACAGACAGACAGACAGACAGACAGACAGACAGACAGACAGACAGACAGACAGACAGACAGACAGACAGACTGAGACAGACAGACAGACTGAGACAGACAGACAGACAGACAGACAGACAGACAGACAGACAGACAGACAGACAGACAGACAGACAGACAGACAGACAGACAGACAGACAGACAGACAGACAGACAGACAGACAGACAACACACACTCTCTGAGCAGTATGATGGAAATGGGACAAGATGCCACCATGCTGCCCTGGGTGTTTGTTCGGGTCAATCCCTATCCCTTATGCATGCTAATCCTTACTCACATTAGCATGGGCTTGTTGTCAACAATAATCCCAAAAATTACTATTTGCAGGAATTTTAGGGTAGAGTGTCTCTTATACAATATTGCGAAAGGGACTTACAGTTTCAGTGTGTTGTTGGTGTATGTGTGCAGGTGCATGTTATTGGTGACCTGTGATTTGTGATACTGTACAGTGTGTGTGTGAGTGCGTGCGCGTGTGTGTGTGTGTGTGTGTGTGAGAGTGCGTGCGTGTGTGTGTGTGTGTGTGTGAGTGCGTGTGTGTAGTACTGTGTGAACACTGCACGGCCCTCCAGGTGAAACTCACCTGAACAAGTTTTGTGTTGTGTGTTGTCATGACAACGCTCCAAAGACTCGACCACAGGTGAAACGCTCTGGAATGTGGAGTTGGCGAAGAGGAATCCCAAAGACACTCATTATGTGTCTCTCCCTCCTCCTCTGTCTTTCACTTCCTCCTTCTCTCTGTCTCTCTGTCTTGCAACACTTTCACCTGTAAGTTAAAAATAGCATAGTTTACATAGCAACTGTACTATCAACATAGACAATGCAGACCAATCACTGCTAGGCAAATCCCCGCCTTATCATAGTTCGTTGGTCACCATGGTGGCGCAGTGGTCTAAGGCACTGCATCGCAGTGCTAACTGTGCCACTAGAGATCCTGGTTCGAATCCAGGCTCTGTCGCAGCCGGCCGCGACCGGGAGACTCATGGGCGGTGCACAATTGGCCCAGGGTAGGGAAGGGAATGGCCGGCAGGGATGTAGCTCAGTTGATAGAGCATGGCGTTTGCAACGCCAGGGTTGTGGGTTTGATTCCCACGGGGGGCCAGTATAAAAAAATATATATATATGTATTCACTAACTGTAAGTCGCTCTGGATAAGAGCGTCTGCTAAATGACAAAAATGTAAATGTAATAGCAACACCCACCCGTAGTATGCGCTCCAGCAGGTATATCTCACTGGTCATCCCCAAAGCCAACACCTCCTTTGGCCACCATTCCTTCCAGTTCTCTGCTGCTAATGACTGGAACGAATTGCAAAAATCTCTGAAGCTGGAGACTCTTATCTCCCTCACTAACTTCAAGCATCAGTTGTCAGAGCAGCTTACCGATCACTGCACCTGTACACAGCCCATCTGTAATTAGCCACCCAACTACCTCATCCCCATATTGTTATTTATTTTGCTCATTTGCACCCCCCTATCTCTATTTGCAATCTTAAAACTGCACTTATCACCCAGTTTATCTAAAATTTAATTATTTTGCCCCTATGGCCCTTTTATGCCTTTCCTCCATAATTTCATTGACACACGATAAGATGTTCATTTTGTTTTTTTTATGTAGTTTTTTTTATCCCCCGGTAATCTCTGCGGGTTTTTGTTTTTTTTCGCCGGGTTTGCTTTTTTTGGCCCGGGCGCTTTTTAATAAAAATAAAGCATGTTTTAGAGTCTTTGGTTTAAAATAGCCTAATTATGTAATATTTTCTGTATTTTTGTCTTGGGGGGTGATGTCTGGTCTATGGGGCGATGTTGCGTCTACTGGGGGTGTGTCTGCTGTCTACTGGGGTGATTTTTTTTTGATTTTTTCTACGGGGGGGTTTTTTTGCTTTTTACTGGGGCTGTTTGTCTGCTGTCTACGGGGGGCGATGTCTGCTGTCACGGGGGCTGATGTCTGCTGTCTACTGGGGCTAAATGTCTGCTGTCTACTGGGGCTGATGTCTGCTGTCTACTGGGGCTGATGTCTGCTGTCTACTGGGGCTGGATGTCTGCTGTCTACTGGGGCTGATGTCTGCTGTCTACTGGGGCTGATGTCTGCTGTCTACTGGGGCTGATGTCTGCTGTCTACTGGGGCTGATGTCTGCTGTCTACTGGGGCTGATGTCTGCTGTCTACTGGGGCTGATGTCTGCTGTCTACTGGGGCTGATGTGCTTCTACTGGGGCTGATGTCTGCTGTTACTGGGGCTGATGTCTGCTGTCTACTGGGGCTGATGTCTGCTGTCTACTGGGGCTGATGTCTGCTGTCTACTGGGGCTGATGTCTGCTGTCTACTGGGGCTGATGTCTGCTGTCTACTGGGGCTGATGTCTGCTGTCTACTGGGGGCTGATGTCTGCTGTCTACTGGGGCTGATGTCTGCTGTCTACTGGGGCTGATGTCTGCTGTCTACTGGGGCTGATGTCTGCTGTCTACTGGGGCTGATGTCTGCTGTCTACTGGGGCTGATGTCTGCCTGTCTACTGGGGCTGATGTCTGCTGTCTACTGGGGCTGATGTCCTGCTGTCTACTGGGGCTGATGTCTGCTGTCTACTGGGGCTGATGTCTGCTGTCTACTGGGGCTGATGTCTGCTGTCTACTGGGGCTGATGTTGCTGTCTACTGGGGGATGTGCTGTCTACTGGGGCTGATGTCTGCTGGACTACTGGGGCTGATGTCTGCTGTCTACTGGGGCTGATGTCTGCTGACTACTGGGGCTGATGTCTGCTGTCTACTGGGGCTGATGTCTGCTGTCTACTGGGGCTGATGTCTGCTGTCTACTGGGGCTGATGTCTGCTGTCTACTGGGGCTGATGTCTGCTGTCTACTGGGGCTGATGTCTGCTGTCTACTGGGGCTGATGTCTACTGTCTACTGGGGCTGATGTCTGCTGTCTACTGGGGCTGATGTCTGCTGTCTACTGGGGCCGCAGGTAGCTATCTGTGTTTGTGACAGTTCTGTTTTTTTAAATACAACGTTATAGACTACTATTATCGTTTCAGGTACAAACAGTGGCACTTTCTCATGGAAACCTCATGTCCAACATAGGAACGAAGAAGATTAAGAAACTATGTTCAACATATGTCTCGTCTTGGGCGGCAGGTAGCTTAGTGGTTAAGAGCGTTGTGCCAGTAACCGAAAGGTCGCTGGTTCTAATCCCCGAGCCGACTAGGTGAAAAATCTGTCGATGTGCCCTTGAGCAAGGCACTTAACCCTAATTGCTCCTGTAAGTTGCTCTGGATAAGAGCGTCTGCTAAATGACTAAAATGTAAATGATTAACTTTCCTGGCTGCAGTACCAAAACCAAACACATGGGCTCATTGTTGCGTTGACGTTGACGTCATAAACCTGCGACATTCCTTCAACGTTGCGTTTTCAAAATGGCGTAATCTGAAAGAAAACAATGTGACGTTGAAAACTATTGTGGGGAAACGAGAGGATTTCATTTAATTAACCGCACCGGCAGCTATAAATCCTGCCACACTATGACGGTGTGCAACTTTTGGATGCAAGGCCGGTGTCGATATGGCGACAGGTGTTGGAATGAGCACCCAAAAGGAGGCGGCGGTAGTGGCGGCAGCTACGTTGGAAATTACAACAGTCGTCCCCCTCAACAGTCCAACAGAGGCGGAGGTAACGGGTAACTAGTAGCTAGCCTCTGCCCCACAGGCTTTCACCTTCACTTTCGACAACAACGTCGGAGAAGCTTGGGAGCCGAGGCTAACTAGCTGTAGTACTAGCTAGTACTATTGTTCATCCGGGTCCCCAGACCCCCAGTCTGTTTCTGTTAGTCAACCCACCATTGTAATAATAATATAATAATATGCCATTTAGCAGACGCTTTTATCCAAAGTGACTTACAGTCATGTGCGCATACATTTTTACGTCCCGGGGATCGAGCCCACTACCCTGGCGTTACAAGCGCCATGCTCTACCAATTGAGCTACAGAGGACCACTATTGTAGCTAATAGCCACAAACTCGACTATAACAGTTTTACCTTTTAGCCAAGCTAGCTGGCTACTTTTCTTTCTAGTAGTCTCGGCTTGACATCCGTTACAAAATGTTACGGCAGTGGGATAAGAGAGTGGTTATGAGGAACGCTTGTACTGTACCTGTGATGGTTTTTGGTTGACTGATTATTTGGACCAATCACGATTTCGCGGGTGTGCACAGATGCCAGTCTGTGCACACAGTCTGTCTGGCATCTTTTGAATTCAGATGGACATAAATTAAATAAACAGCAACAGATGGTATGGTCTTGGTCCTCTTCAGAATGTATGTGTGGGGGGAAGTACTGTTGGTGATGAAACATTGGTGAGCACAGACAATAATACTGACAACCTGAGCCCATCCAGTCCCCAGCTCAGGCTCAGGCCGTTACCTTACGACCCCGAACACTCCAGTCAAGACCCAGGGGAAAAAGATGAGAGGGCAAGAGGGTATGTCACTTCTTGAGATGCAAAACAATATTGTGATGCTTTTGACATTAAAGATAGATGAAATGGCAGATGGCTGGGAGGACATGGTGAAAACTGAGGACATAAAAACATCTGTTGACTTTATCTCTGGAGAAGTGAAAAACCCTCAAAAGTGACATAAAGAAGGTGGAAGTTATCTGCCAGGAAAATGAAAAGAAGGTGGCTGAGCAAAAGGTGAATGAGGCGGAGCGATGCCAGCGCAGGTGGAACCTGAGGATCCATTGAATTCCAGAGCGGGCGGGTGAGGACATCAAACGCAGAGTTGTTGACATCTGTGGAGCTGTCTTTCCCGAATCAAAAGCCACATTTCCAGAAAATGTGGATATCGTTCATGTTTGGAAGACCCAAAGATCAAGACAAGTCCAAGGACAACCATCATCCGGTTCACCAACAGATCTACACGGGATCTTCTCTGGAGGCGAGCAAAGAACTGTGAGTTCCTTATCAAGCAAAAATTGAGGTTCACGGAGGATCTGACCTCTGCATACAAAGTGACACGGGAGAAATTGTGGCAGATGGTGGCTGCAGCTCGAAAGGCAGGGAAAACTGCATTATTTTGTCTGTGCAAAAAGTGATCATTGATGGGAAAGAAATACGGCCAAATCAGAACATTTGAGAGCGAGCCAGAGTCTTAACTCGGACAGAACTGGTACGCCTAAACACTGCCTAATTGCAAGGTGAAAAGCAAAAAAACCTTTTTATTGTAAAGAATTTACACAAACACTTCAATGAGAAAAGGTTGACCTGAACTGGTAAACTAACACTAACTATGGGTGAATAACTGCTTATTGTTGTAAGGTCTACACAATGTCTCCCCCTTGTGGGAGTAAGAATACTTTGGTAACGTTATGAACAGTCTTTTGAGTTACATGTCCTTAGGAAAAGCTTACATTAGCATAACAAGGTTGTTGGTTGAAGTTGCTGTCTTTTATCTCTGTTCAGTTAATGTCGGGGGGGGGGGGGGGTATTTGTGATTTACTCAAATGTAAGGCTATTTTCCTGTATTGTAAACGGTTTAATGCAGACTTTTTACTTTCTACAAGGAGACTTGTGCTTGTTCTTCCGATCTAGCTTTTTGGAGAGAAAAAAAATCAATGGGGTAACGATATCTGGTGATCATATGGCAACAACCACTGCAGCTGTAGCAGTTGTAAGAGGTGCATGTAAAGGGAAAGTCATCAGTAGTAAGACTCAATCCTCCGGAAGACATTAAGGGAAGACTAATAGAGTTAAAGGTGTATTTCCAAATATCAAAATTATCTTGCGTGGAGATTTTAATTCTGTGTCTAATGTGAGGATTGACAGATATCCCCATCCTAATAGATTCAGCATTGTTAATCCTGAGTTTAATAATCTATGTCTTGGTCTTGGATTATTCGATATTTGGAGATCTAAATATCCTGATATTTGTGATGGCCACTCCAATACCTTGACTTTGTTGTCCTTAAGCCATTTTGCCACAACTTTGGAAGTATGCTTGGGGTCATTGTCCATTTGGAAGACCCATTTGCGACCAAGCTTTAACTTCCTGACTGATGTCTTGAGATGTTGCTTCAATATATCCACATAATTTTCCTTCATGATGCCATCTATTTTGTGAAGTGCACCAGTCCCTCCTGCAGCAAAGCACCCACACAGCATGATGCTGCCACCCCCGTGCTTCACGGTTGGGATGGTGTTCTTCGGCTTGCAATCACCCCCTTTTCCTCCAAACATAATGATGGTCATTATGGCCAAACAGTTCTATTTTTGTTTTATCAGACCAGAGGACATTTTTCCAAAAAGTATGATCTTTGTCCCCATCTGCAGTTGCAAATCGTAGTCTGGCTTTTTTATGACGGTTCTGGAGCAGTGGCTTCTTCCTCGCTGGGCTGCCTTTCAGGTTATGTCGATATAGGACTTGTTTTACTGTGGATAGAGATACTTTTGTACCTGTTTCCTCCAGCACCTTCACAAGGTCCTTTGCTGTTGTTCTGGAATTGATTTGCACTTTTCGCACCAAAGTACGTTCATCTCTAGGAGACAGAACGCGTCTCCTTCCTGAGCGGTATGACGGCTGCGTGGTCCCATGGTGTTTATACTTGCGTACTATTGTTTGTACAGATGAACGTGGTACCTTCAGGCGTTTGGAAATTGCTCCCAAGGATGAACCAGACTTGTGGAGGTCTACAATTTTTTTGCTGAGGTCTTGGCTGATTTCTTTTGATTTTCCCATGATGTCAAGCAAAGAGGCACTGCGTTTGAATGTAGGCCTTGAAATACATCCACAGGTACACCTCCAATTGACTCAAATGATGTCAATTAGCCTATCAGAAGCTTCTAAAGCCATGACAAAATTTTCTGGAATTTTCCAAGCTGTTTAAAGGCCCAGTCAACTTAGTGTATGTAAACTTCTGACCCACTGGAATTGTGATACAGTGAATTATAAGTGAAATAATCTGTCTTTAAACAATTGTTGGAAAAATGACTTGTGTCATGCACAAAGTAGATGTCCTAACCGACTTGCCAAAACTATAGTTTGTTAACAAGACATTTGTGGAGTGGTTGAAAAACAAGTTTTAATGACTCCAACCTAAGTGTATGTAAACTTCCGACTTCAACTGTATATATGAAAACTCTGTCAAGATTTTGCTATTCCCTCTGCTAGAAAATACTGGAATGCAGCCCAGGACAAGTGAACTGGAACAGAGTCTTGTTGTTGTCTGGCAAATATTGTATATCTATTAAGGTGAAAGAAGTATCATACGAACCTGTAAAGACCTTTTATTGTACACAGATTCAAAATTGCTATTGATAACAAATGTGTATTTTGTGGTTGTGACTCTTGACCGTTTATTTTGGGACTGTTCTTTTGTCAGAATATTTTATTTTAAAAGAAACTACTATTAATGTTAATTTGAAAGGCTCTGATATGATGTTTTATTTTTGATCCAAGTGATATGGACCCCGATTTAACTTTCAATGTTAATTTGTTTATTTTTCATGGAAGATTCTTTCTCCATGAAATGAAGAGGGCGGAGAATCAACCCCTCTTCACATTGGAATAAGATAGAATAGATAGAATTGAAACATTATTTTGAAATGATCAGTACGTGTAAAAACAAATAAAAACTAAAACTTTTTTGAGAAATTGAAAATATATCTCGACATGTAATACCTCTTCCTGTCTGTTAGGTTTATGTATTATTTTTGTTTTATTGTTCATAAAATATAAAAAATATATATATTATAATTATTCCACAATACTGAGGAAGGATCAGCTCCTAGAAAGATATCACCTATGAGGCAGCTCATTCTAATGCCTATAATAACGCACTAAATCACAGATTTGGCACATTGTACACCTGTTGTTACACATCATGAAGTATATTGAGACAAATTACAGACAGTAACCTACAGGTAGGAAAATTAAACAAAATTGATTGAACATGAAATGTTTTTCAATACGGTTGAAATAGGCCTATAGCCTACTGTATTTATATTTTAATGCGGTCATCTCGGTTTTCATTTGAAGCATCTTTTTATACGTCGCTTGTTTGTTCGTATCAATTGCAAAGACATTGGCAACTTTGTATTTGTAGTCAACTTTGTTCTGAAGTTATCGGTGGTCGCAGAGGCGGATAAAACATGTGATTCTATGTTTAGCTGTGATCTTCTGTGTATAAAGTGACGCGGGGGGGGGGCAAAAAAGAATCTAACGACACACTTAACTGTTCTACGAGTGGTATGAAAAATGTATGCACTCACTAACTGTAAGTCGCTCTGGATAAAGGCGTCTGCTAAAATGACTAAAATGTAAATGTCTGAGGCAGGCGTTAGATTACGTGCGTTTTCAAGTGCAACGTTAATAACGACGGTTTTGGGAAACAGCTCGAAGATTTAACGATTGCTCATACAAAGGTTCTAATGATGAACTTAGCCTTAAGATGCTTTTGGGAAACTTGGCCCTGGCTAGTAAAACAAATGTGATGGGTTAATTCATCATGGCATGTTGTCTAGCAACACATTTCTCCCATCCAATATTTAGGTCATCTAAACCTATGAATGTCCTGTTTTTTCAGGGTTTGGGAACAGAGTGTGGGTGAACCCAGCTCCGAGGTCTGGAGGAGGAAACTACGTCCAGCCGTCATCCTTCTCCTCCCAGCAGGGTGGGGATGACTGGGGAGGGGGAGGAAGAGGAGGGGGAGGTGGGGGCAACAACAACTGGGGTCCTGGAGGAGGAGGAAGAGGAGGAGGAGGAGGAGGAGGAAGGGACAGTGAAGTCAAGAGCTCCAATTTCAGTTTTGCAGCCTCCTCTCCAAACCAAAACAGATTTTCTGCCTTGAGCACTGGAGAAGATGAAGACAATGGAAAACATTTGTAAGTGACTGGTTGGGTGGATACAGTTTCCACATACAACACACACACATAGTTAGTCCCTGACAAAGTCTGTAAATGTAATAGCCGGTTAATCAGAATGTCTTCTCTCCTCACCAGGGAGACCATCCAGAAGGATATGGAGATCTGGGAGACTTCAGGCCAGTGGCTTTTCTCCTGTTACTCTGTCCTCAAAGCAACCATCTCAGGTAAGACCAAAACAGAACTGCTTAGCTTTGATCCATCCCACTATGGGAACAGATTGATGATGTCAGCGCCATATACATGGGGCCGGACACAGCTGTGGAGGAGGATTTGGAGGGAGTGGTTTCGGGAGTGCAGCGCCGGTTGCTGCACGTGGGTAGGGTTTTGGGGCTATGGTAGCAGGGACAGAAGGACGACTGTGGACTGGGGGGGGGGGCAAGCAGAAACCCGTCTCTTCACCCCCAAGAGCCCAGCTGAGTGAAGAGGACCTGAAGGAGTTTTGGAGGGAAGATGTTCACCCCTGGGGCCAGATTACCACTCAGACCAAATCCCCGCCTGTTTGATATGCTGGTGGTCTTGAAGCCCACCGTGGACATCGTGCAAAAAATGGCTTGTCTCCTTTTCTTTAACGGACCTGATGGGAAAGAGCTGGACTGAATGTCTCTGAACCCATTTTGATGAGTAAAAACCCTTATGTCCCCCCCCCCCCATCCTTGATGTAATCACTGACCTGACTAGTTTCTACTGATACAATCAATCGAATGGATTCTGAATGATGTCATGTTTCCAACCAAGAGGGTGTTTCTGGTAATACTGCCTTGCCATCTGGTTGAAATGTTTCCTTTGTAAAATGGAGGACGAGCAGAATGACAACATGATCATAGTCAGACTCCTGGAGGTCTACAGGGACTCAATATTTCAACATTAAAATAAGTGGGGTTTCAATTATGGTTGGTGGTATTTTTGCTTTGCATAGATTTTTTAAAATAATGATGGGCTGTTGCTTTCATCTCATTCCGTTTTTTTCCCCCAGATGTAAACTCAGCAAAAAAAGAAACGTCCCTTTTTCAGGACCCTGTCTTTCAAAGATAATTCGTAAAAATCCAAATAACTTCACAGAACTTCACTGTAAAGGGTTTAAACACTGTTTCCCATGCTTGTTCAATGAACCATAAACAATTAATGAACATGCACCTGTGGTACGGTCGTTAAGTCACTAACAGCTTACAGACGGTAGGCAATTAAGGTCACAGTTATGAAAACTTAGGACACTAAAGAGGCCTTTCTACTGATTCTGAAAAACACCAGAAAGAAAGATGCCCAGGGTCCCTGCTCATCTGCGTGAACATGCCTTAGGCATGCTGCAAGGAGGCATGAGGACTGCAGATGTGGCCAGGGCAATAAATTGCAATGTCTGTACTGTGAGACGCCTAAGACAGCGCTACAGGGAGACAGGACGGACAGCTGATCGTCCTCGCAGTGGCAGACCATGTGTAACAACACCTGCACAGGATCGGTACATCTGAACATCACACCTGCGGGACAGGTACAGGATGGCAACAACAACTGCCCGAGTTACACCAGGAACGCACAATCCCTCCATCAGTGCTCAGACTGTCCGCAGTAGGCTGAGAGAGGCTGGACTGAGGGCTTGTAGGCCTGTTGTAAGGCAGGTCCTCACCAGACATCACCAGCAACAACGTCGCCTATGGGCACAAACCCACCGTCGCTGGACCAGACAGGACTGGCAAAAAGTGCTCTTCAATGACGAGTCGCGGTTTTGTCTCACCAGGGGTGATGGTCGGGTTCACAATGCCACCAGCCGTACTGCTCGTTCTCTGCGTGATTTCCTGCAAGACAGGAATGTCAGTGTTCTGCCATGGCCAGCGAAGAGCCCGGAGCTCAATCCCATTGAGCATATCTGGGACCTGTTGGATCGGAGGGTGAGGGCTAGGGCCATTCCCCCCAGAAATGTCCGGGAACTTGCAGATGCCTTGGTGGAAGAGTGGGGTAACATCTCACAGCAAGAACTGGCAAATCTGGTGCAGTCCATGAGGAGGAGATGCACTGCAGTACTTAATGCAGCTGGTGGCCACACCAGATACTGACTGTTACTTTTGATTTTGATCCCCCCCTTTGTTCAGGGACACATTAGTCAATTTCTGTTAGTCACATGTCTGTGGAACTTGTTCAGTTTATGTCTCAGTTGTTGAATGTTATGTTCATACAAATATTTCCACGTTAAGTTTGCTGAAAATAAACGCAGTTGACAGTGTGAGGACGTTACTTTTTTTTGCTGAGTTTATATTGTATGAATGATTTTTTGTTTTGTCATTCATTAAATGAACACTGTCTATGATTTCAGCTCACAAGAACATGAAAACGTGGACAGTAGCATTTGTTTACTTGGATCCCTGTTGGCTTTTTCAGAAGCAGCAGCTATTCTTCCTGGGGTCCACATAAAACACATGACAAGGAACACAACACTGACAGACAAGGACAGTCACACACATTTAAAATACAATAATATACAAACAAATAATACAAACAATACAACTAAATAATAATGTGTGTGTGTGTGTGTGTGTGTGTGTTACTGTGTGTGTGTGTATGTGTGTCCTCACGGTCCTCGCCGTTCCATGAGGTGTTGTTTAATCTATTGTTTTAATGGTCATTTTGCTGTTTGCTTGAGGAATTGGAGAGTTCAATGCGATCATGGCTCTGTATATTACTGTGCGTTGGGGCCTGTGAAGAGACTCTGAGTATATTGAATGGATGTGGAGGGCATTGAACCCTGTCCTCTCCTTTGGTGCAGGGTTTACAGAGCTCTCTCCAGAGGAGCTGAGACAGGAGTATTACAACACCAAGCCATCTGGAGACCTGCAGGGATATGTGAGTAGAATCACATCCACATCCCTCTATCTGCGTGAACACGGTATAATGAAGACGAAGCCATCTGCTCTGGAGTTCAATACAATGTGGTCCTCTGTAGCTCAGCTGGTAGAGCACGGCGCTTGTAACGCCCAGGGTAGTGGGTTCGATCCCCGGGACCACCCATATGTAAAAATGTATGCGCACATGACTGTAAGTCACTTTGGATAAAAAGCATCTGCTAAATGGCATATTATTATTATTATTATTAATATTACAATGAAGAACATACTTTATTGATCCACATGAGACAGACATTTTGTCTTCTACTTTTACCCAACCCCTTCGATATACACACACACACATTATGTAGGAGAGGCTGTAGCAGTCGGCTGCCCAATGACTAGTTTAGGGGGTTAAGTTCCTTGCTTCTAACTTAAGGACAGTGATTCCAGAGTGTATAGCCATTTCGTCCATGTGTGTCTGTATCCTAAGGTGAATGCACCAATTTGTAAGTCGCTCTGGATAAGAGCGTCTGCTAAATGACGTAAATGTATGTCTTTATTGTCTGAGAAATGAATTCCAATCAATACTAACAATCTTCTGTATGTCTGTAGGCTAATGTCGTCAATCAGCTGCTCAACCAATGGAGAAGCAGAGTCCAGGAGCTGAGGGCTATGAGCGGCAACACCAGAGTCGCTATGGTGACACACACATACACACACACACACACACACACTTCTTTCTGTAGTAATATGACAAGAAAAATACAAAGCCATATATGTACAAGGCATGTAATCCTATCTCCTCTCTCCCAGCTTGCAGAGCTCGACAACCCAGCACCACAGGCAGCGTCTGGAGGTTTTGGGTCGACACCAGTGACCGGCTTTGGGTCCTCAGCTCCATCAGGTTTTGGGTCCTCAGCTCCATCAGGTTTTGGGTCCTCAGCTCCATCAGGTTTTGGGTCCTCAGCTCCATCAGGTTTTGGGTCCTCAGCTCCATCAGGTTTTGGATCCTCAGCACCATCAGGTTTTGGATCCTCACCACCATCAGGTTTTGGGTCCTCAGCACCATCAGGTTTTGGAGCAGGTAAGATCTGCTGTAACCTGATGAGACCCTCTGTAACTCCTATGTTGAGTGGATGAGACCCTCTGTAACTCCTATGTTGAGTGGATGAGACCCTCTGTAACTCCTATGTTGAGTGGATGAGACCCCCTGTAACTCTCTGTTGACTGGATGAGAACCCTCTGTAACTCCTATGTTGACTGGATGAGACCCTCTGTAACTATGTTGACTGGATTGAGACCCTCTGTAACTCCTATGTTGACTGGATGAGACCCTCTGTAACTCCTATGTTGACTGGATGAGACCCTCTGTAACTCCTATGTTGACTGGATGAGACCCTCTGTAACTCCTATGTTGACTGGATGAGACCCTCTGTAACTCCTATGTTGACTGGATAAGACCCTCTGTAACTCCTATGTTTGACTGGATGAAGACCCTCTGTAACTCCTATGTTGACTGGATGAGACCCTCTGTAACTCCTATGTTTGAGTGGATAAGACCCCTCTGTAACTCCTATGTTTGACTGGATGAGACCCTCTGTAACTCCTATGTGAACTGGATGAGACCCTCTGTAACTCCTATTGTTGACTGGATGAGAACCCTCTGTAACTCCTATGTTGAGTGGATGAGACCCTCTGTAACCTCCTATGTTGACTGGATGAGACCCTCTGTAACTCCTATGTGACTGGATGAGACCCTCTGTAACTCCTATGTTGACTGGATGAGACCCTCTGTAACTCCTATGTTGACTGGATGAGACCCTCTGTAACTCCTATGTTGACTGGATAAGACCCTCTGTAACTCCTATGTTGACTGGATAAGACCCTCTGTAACTCCTATGTTGACTGGATGAGACCCTCTGTAACTCCTATGTTGACTGGATGAGACCCTCTGTAACTCCTATGTTGACTGGATGAGACCCTCTGTAACTCCTATGTTGAGTGGATGAGACCCTCTGTAACTCCTATGTTGACTGGATGAGACCCTCTGTAACTCCTATGTTGACTGGATGAGACCCTCTGTAACTCCTATGTTGGCTGGATAAAGACGTCAGCATGCTTCGGTTCGGCTTCGGAACCCAACGGCTCGCATCCTCCCTTAAAAGACCTTCGCTTGAAAAAAGAGACAAAAAGCAATAGTACTGTTTGTCCATCTTGAGACGCCGTAGCCAGTATACACTTCCTCAAAATTGTCAATTAAGAAATCTGTCATTAACTTTGACGTTTTTGCCGAGGAGATCTTAGTTGCGCAATTTTACATCTAACTAAGATGTTTGGTGCAGTATTTCTCAATCGAATTGTGCATGAAAACGATTCATCGCTCATTGAATGACAACAAACACTTCATTTAAGAATCCCTACTGTTGACCAATCACCGACCAAAGTATTTACTTGCACACTTAATTGACTTCATTCCTATGTTTATATTTACATTTTAGTAATTTAGCAGACGCTCTTATCCAGAGCAACTTACAGGAGCCATTAGGGTTAAGTGCCTTGCTCAAGGGCACATCGAAAGATTTTTCACCTAGTCGGCTCGGGAATTAGAACCAGCGACCTTTCGGTTACAGGCACAACGCTCTTAACCACTAAGCTACCTGCCGCCCAAGACGAGACATATGTTGAACATAGGAACGAAGAAGATTAAGAAACTATGTTGGACATGAGGTTTCCATGAGAAAGTGCCACTGTTTGTACCTGAAACGATAATAGTAGTCTATTACGTTATATTTAAAAAACAGAATTGTCACATACACCAGATAGGTGCAGTGAAATGTGTTGTTTTACAGGGTCAGCCATAGTAGTACGGCGCCCCCTGGAGCAAATTAGGGTTAAGTGCCTTGCTCAAGGACACAGACAGATTTTTCACCTTGTTGGCTCGGGTATTCGAACCAGCAACCTTTCGGATTCTGACCCAACGCTCTAACCGCTAGGCTACCTGCCAGCCAAGGAGGATGATATCTCTCTGGTACTTCTCTCAATCTAAAGCTGTACTCTCTCTCCTCTCCCTAGGCGTGCCAGCCCAGGAGGATGATATCTCTCTGGTACTTCTCTCAATCTAAAGCTGTACTCTCTCTCCTCTCCCTAGGCGTGCCAGCCCAGGCCCCAGGTGCCAGCAGTTTCAGCTTTGGTTCTGCTGCTCCCCTGCCTGCAGCTTCTGGTTTGGGCAGTGCTTTGGCAGGCACCGCCCCTGCTCCCGCTGGGGTCGGCTCTACGGCCACCGCTGCTCCCTCGGCAGCAGGTTTCTCCTTTGCCACCCCTGCTGCCAACAAAGACCCAACTACTGCCGGTTTCGGAGCTCCTGCTTCAGGGTTTGGAGCGCCTGCCTCTGCTTCCGGGTTCAGCTTCGCCTCGATGACCACTGGTGGAGGAGGATTTGGAGGGAGTGGTTTCGGGAGTGCAGCGCCGGTGGCTGCAAGTGGAGGGTTTGGGGCTATGGTAGCAGGGACAGGGACGACTGGGACTGGGGGGGGGGCAGCAGACAGTCTCTTCACCCCCAAGAGCCAGCTGAGTGAAGAGGACCTGAAGGAGTTTGGAGGGAAGAGGTTCACCCTGGGGCAGATACCACTCAGACCTCCCCCTGTTGATATGCTGGTGGTCTGAGCCCACCGTGGACATCTGCAAAATGGCTTGTCTCCTTTTCTTTAACAGACCTGATGGGAAAGAGCTGGACTGAATGTCTCTGAACCCATTTTGATGAGTAAAAACCCTTATGCCCCCCCCTTTTTGTTAACCCCTTTTTTTCAATTTTCACCAAATCTGCCTGTAAGGATATGCATATACTTGATACCATTTGAAAGGAAACACTTTGAAATGTGAAATTAATGTAGGAGAATATAACACATTAGATCTGGTAAAAGATAATACAAACAAAAAAACATGCATTTTCTATTTATTTATTTTGTTCCATCTTTGAAATGCAAGAGAAAGGCCACAATAAAATATTGCAGTTTAGGCGCAATTTAGATTCTGGCCACTAGATTTACATTTACATTTTAGTCATTTAGCAGACGCTCTTATCCAGAGCGACTTACAGGAGCAATTAGGGTTAAGTGCCTTGCTCAAGGGCACATTTACATCATTTAGCAGACGCTCTTATCCAGAACGACTCACAAATTGGTGCATTCACCCTATAGCCAGTGGGAAAACCACTTTACAAATTTTTTTTTGGGGGGGGGGGGGGGTAGAAGGATTACTTTATCCTATCCCAGGTAATCCTTAAAGAGGTGGGGTTTCAAATGTCTCCGGAAGGTGGTGAGTGACTCCGCTGTCCTGGCGTCGTGAGGGAGCTTGTTCCACCATTGGGGTGCCAGAGCAGCGAACAGTTTTGACTGGGCTGAGCGGGAACTATGCTTCTGCAGAGGAATGGGAACCAGCAGGCCAGAGGTGGATGAACGCAATGCCCTCGTTTGGGTGTAGGGACTGATCAGAGCCCGAAGGTACAGAGGTGCCGTTCCCCTCACTGCTCCATAGGCAAGCACCATGGTCTTGTAACGGATGCGAGCTTCAACTGGAAGCCAGTGGAGTGTGCGGAGGAGGGGGGTGACGTGAGAGAACTTGGGAAGGTTGAACACCAGACGGGCTGCGGCATTCTGGATGAGTTGTAGGGGTTTAATGGCACAGGCAGGGAGGCCAGCCAACAGCGAGTTGCAGTAGTCCAGACGGGAGATGACAAGTGCCTGGATTAGGACCTGTGCCGCTTCCTGTGTAAGGCAGGGTCGTACTCTCCGAATGTTGTAGAGCATGAACCTGCAGGAGCGGGTCACCGCCTTGATGTTAGCGGAGAACGACAGGGTGTTGTCCAGGGTCACGCCAAGGCTCTTCGCACTCTGGGAGGAGGGCACAACGGAGTTGTCAACCGTGATGGCGAGATCATGGAACGGGCAGTCCTTCCCCGGGAGGAAGAGCAGCTCCGTCTTGCCAGGGTTCAGCTTGAGGTGGTGATCCGTCATCCATACTGATATGTCTGCCAGACATGCAGAGATGCGATTCGCCACCTGGTTATCAGAAGGGGGAAAGGAGAAGATTAGTTGTGTATCGTCAGCGTAGCAATGATAGGAGAGGCCATGTGAGGATATGACAGAGCCAAGTGACTTGGTATATAGGGGATTCAGCAGGGAGGAAAAAGTGGCAAAGAGCTTCCTAGGGTTAGAGGCAGATGCTTGGAATTTAGAGTGGTAGAAAGTGGCCTTAGCAGCAGAAACAGATGAAGAAAATGTAGAGAGGAGGGAGTGAAAAGATGCCAGGTCGGCAGGGAGTTTAGTTTTCTTCCATTTCCGCTCCGCTGCCCGGAGCTCTGTTCTGTGAGCTCGCAATGAGTCATCAAGCCACGGAGCTGGAGGGGAGGACCGAGCCGGCCGGGAGGATAGGGGACACAGAGAGTCAAAGGATGCAGAAAGGGAGGAGAGGAGGGTTGAGGAGGCAGAATCAGGAGATTGGAGGGAGAAGGATTGAGCAGAGGGAAGAGATGATAGGATGGAAGAGGAGAGAGTAGTGGGAGAGAGAGAGCGAAGGTTGCGGCGGCGCATTACCATCTGTGTAGGGGCAGAGTGAGTAGTGTGGGAGGAGAGCGAGAGAGAAAAGGAAACAAAGTAGTGGTCGGAGACATGGAGGGGAGTTGCAGTGAGATTAGTAGAAGAGCAGCATCTAGTAAAGATGAGGTCAAGCGTATTGCCTGCCTTGTGAGTAGGGGGGGGACGGTGAGAGGGTGAGGTCAAAAGAGGAGAGGAGTGGAAAGAAGGAGGCAGAGAGAAATGAGTCAAATGTAGACATAGGGAGGTTGAAATCCCCCAAAACTGTGAGGGGTGAGCCATCCTCAGGAAAGGAACTTATCAAGGCGTCAAGCTCATTGATGAACTCTCCAAGGGAACCTGGAGGGCGATAGATGACAAGGATATTAAGCTTAAATGGGCTAGTGACTGTGACAGCATGGAATTCAAATGAGGAGATAGACAGATGGGTTAGGGGAAAAATTGAGAATGTCCACTTGGGAGAGATGAGGATTCCTGTGCCACCACCCCTCTGACCAGATGCTCTCGGGGTATGCGAGAACACATGGTCAGACGAGGAGAGAGCAGTAGGAGTAGCAGTAGGAGTAGCAGTGTTTTCAGTGGTAATCCATGTTTCCGTCAGCGCCAGGAAGTCGAGGGACTGGAGGTTAGCATAGGCTGGGATGAAGTCAGCTTTGTTGGCAGCAGAACGGCAGTTCCAGAGGCTGCCTGAGACCTGGAACTCCAGGTGTGGGGTGCGTGCAGGGACCACCAGGTTAGAGAGGCAGCAGCCACGCGGTGTGGGGCGTTTGTGTAGCCTGTGCAGAGAGGAGAGAACAGGGATAGGCAGAGGCATAGTTGACAGGCTGTAGCAAATGGCTACAATAATGCAGAGGAGATCGGAATGAAATGAGCTAAACATCAGGGAGAGGAGAGAGCAGGGCCCTCTCACCAAAAACTTCTACCTCAGAAACTATAATTGTTTCACTGAACCACCCGAACAAAAACTCTACCAACTTCCACCTTTAGAAATTAGAATTGTTGTGAACCACAGCGGTTCAATGTTTAAAGGAATAGACTCAACCCACTTTATTCAGCTAGCTAACTATGACACCATAGCTAACTAGCATGCTAGTTAGCTATGATTGATCCAGTGATCCAGTGATCCAGATTGATCCAGTGAAGCATTGCAATGCTGGACTATTATGTATCAAGTCTGCCCAAATGTGCCGAATTGGTCAATTGATACATTTTCAAGTACATAACTATAGAGAACATACAAAAATGATATGGTAATACAAAATGTAAGTTTACACACTAACTAAGCTTATACACTAACTTTCACACATCTAGATGGCTGGGCGTGGTGGGTGTGGAGCCAAAGACAGCAGGGGTTCAAACTGAGTTTCTTCAATAACAATTTATGATCAATAACATCAAAGGCTGCACACCTCCCAACTATCATCTTATTGTCCATTTCTTTTAACCGATCATCAGTCATCTGAGTCAGTGCATGGATGGATGGGGCCATGTATCGCGAGATCTTGGCCAACAACCTCCTTCCCTCAGTAAGAGCATTGAAGATGGGTCGTGGCTGGGTCTTCCAGCATGACAATGACCCGAAACACACAGCCAGGGCAACTAAGGAGTGGCTCCGTAAAATGTATGCACTCACTAACTGTAAGTTGCTCTGGATAAGAGCGTCTGCTAAATGACTAAAATATAATTGCAACATGTCACATTTTCCTCACTTTTATAAAACATGATATGATCTTTTCCACAATTTCGACATCTCGGCTTCTCTCTTCTGCAAACACTTGAGACATGACCAAAAGCTTTACAATGATCAAACTGCATTGGTCTTGGGATAAATGCTCTGACTTTGTAGTTTATATAACCCAACTGCACTTGAGTAGGGAGAGACTCCATATCAAAAAACAAAAGAACAGATCAACTATTCACTTTTTCTCCATTCACCACACGGTTCATCCGACGTGCATCAATCACTCCAGGAATATTTGTAATCTCTTCAAAACCGAATTCCCACGAGACGCCCGATATAACCCCCTTGAGGGGTGCCCTGTTCCGAAGAGACACACACAACACTTCAAACTTATCAAATCGGGTGTGATGCAACGCACGTTCCTTCTGATCCGCAGAAGCACAAAAAATCAAAACAAGCCTGCCTCTCGTGATCCTCACAGCCTTCCCTCTACCCAGCACTCTCTCCACCAGTTTGGATATCTCAAATAGTTTCTTCCAGATCGGTAATCTGATCAGCTGCTCCTCATTAACAAACCGTACTCCTACTAGATACGAAGGGACATTCTCAGCGCTGTACTCTACTTTGCTCTGTTTTCCATTCTTTTTGAACAATCCTCCAATTCTCCTTGATTTTACCGCCACTGGATTCAGAATCCGCTTGATCGTCTGCTTCCGCCGTCTTTCCTCCTCTAGCTCAGGATCCTTTCCTCAGGCTACACAGTACCACATCCTTTCCTCAGGCTACACAGTACCACATCCTTTCCTCAGGCTACACAGTACCACATCCTTTCCTCAGGCTACAGTACCACATCCTTTCCTCAGGCTACACAGTACCACATCCTTTCCTCAGGCTACAGTACCACATCCTTTCCTCAGGCTACACAGTACCACATCCTTTCCTCAGGCTACACAGTACCACATCCTTTCCTCAGGCTACACAGTACCACAGCGGACCCATTTTAAAATGAGAGGCTTTTCTTTTGTATTAAAACGTGTCCCAGTCCAACGCCTTCTTCTGCACCTACATTAAAATCACTCATTACTGCCACGCACAGGTCGGCTGATCCAGCAGCAGGAAAGGATTTTATCTCCTACAAATGTGTTTACATCCCTGTTTAGTGAGCATTTCTCCTTTGCCAAGATAATCCATCCACCTGACAGGTGTGGCATATCAAAAAGCTGATTAAACAATGTAATCATTACACAGGTGCACCTTGTGCTGGGGACCAAAAAAAAGGCCACTCTACAATGTGCAGTTTTGTCACACAACACAATGCCACAGATGTCCTCGAGTTTTGAGGGAGTGTGTAATTGGCATGGTGACAGCGGGAATGTCCACCAGAGCTGTTG